TATGGGACTTAAGCTATACCCCTTTTAAAACTCAAGCATGCACACATTCATTCAAGAATAAGACAGACAAAACAGATAGTGTGACATAAACATTATTGATGTAAAAACGTAGATAGTGTAAATTAATTCTATAAATCAAAGTCCGGAACACAAGCATGGGAAGAGTTTTATATTCCCCTCCCAGATCTTTTGATTTTGAGCAATGATGATATCTTGGTACTGGTTAATCTTTAATTCAGTAGCTTATCAGGTGGACTGAGATCCTTTATTGTATCAGAATTCCTTCTTTTCAGAGTCTCTAGACAATCACGGTTCTACGACAAACAGCAGCTGAACCAATCTGAAGGTTGTTTTTAGGCGGTTCTTTCTTCATTTCAAAGACCTCTGGTGCCACTTTGTCTCATAAAGTATTGCCTCACTGCTTCAAAAAATAGCATAATCTTGTGTACCTAAAGGGTAAAATGCACAATCCCACTTGACCTTCAAATTGCAAAAGAACTCTCCCAGAACATTTCGCTATGTCGCGGTGCCCAACTTTCATTTTCCAGTTTATGGTTCAAAAGTCCCTTGCACACTAAAAACATAGACAATCACTGGTAATACTGTTAAATCTTCTATCAGCAATCTGTGTACACCTGATTTTAAGCTTGAAGATGAGTAACTGTTAAGATCCCCACAGATACCAACAGCTTTTAAGAAGAGAGAAATTCCCCAACAACCAACCAAAATAACCAAAGGGCAAGATTTTACATTTCAAGGCCTTTGCAATAACAAACAAACTAAATATCAAAGCAGATCAAACATCAATGAACAGGTCACTAACACCAAACTGAGGAGAATTATCAGTTTTGTGCTGACTAACACAACTGAAATATATCTTAGGAAACACTTTTATTCAACACCACACTTGCAGCTGGTATGTAGCATGACAAACATAGTCCCATAGGCACGCCCAGCTTTCCAGAAGTTGTTCACTTTTCTCCATCCCATTAGATTAAAACCTTCAGTGTCCTTGGACAGCCATTCCACTGTGGAATACCACAGAAACTTTCCATTCTATACATCCTCAAGAGTTCCATCTATTCTGTTCCTTCTCCTTTTAACAGAAACTAAACCCTCCTGAGCTTCCTGTGTGGTTGTTAGCAAAACTAGTCCACCTACTTCCCCATGGCAGTATCTCCTTTGTCTTCACATTTCAAGAAACAGTTTTCATTTTTTCTTCAAGATACTGTGAAGAGAAGTTGAACTACACCTAACCCTCAAAAGGTTTTGATTTAAGTTTCTCTCCTACAGCAACCAGAACACGCAGGCACATCTCTGAGCACCCTCTTTTAGAGAACGTTTTATTCCACCTTAACAGGAGACATTTTAAAACATAATTATTTTGCAAGTTTTTACCACCGAGAAGCACAAAGGCAGCAGAGACATAGGAACACCATCATCTGTATTTCTTCTCTAAGCTCCTCACCCTCCTGACGTATAAATATATAATCATTCTTTCACTGTTGCTAGGTAAATTCCATGAATACCACCCCTTCAAAAGCATTGTGTTTCTACATACACCCTGCAGTGGCTCAAGAAGGCAACTCACCACCTCCTTCTCAAAAGCTATTAGGGAAACTTGAACTCTTAATTTGGAAATGTGAGCAAGTTTGAAGTAGTTGAAACATCCTTGGAATGGTTTTAAGTTACAAGCAGAATTAAAAGGTTATCTTTCTTTTAAACAGGTCCATTGACAAGGGAGTGCTGCCCCGACGTCCATTCGCTCCCAGGAGCATTGCAGATCTGAAAATTGGGCATCTTGTTAAATTCTCCCGCCCTGCAGGGAAAATCAGCAAAGGATTGGTTAAATACTTGGGTCACTTACCAGGTCGACAGGAAGCATACCTG